ACTTGCTAACAAGCATTGATTTTTCTTGCTGCTTATTACAGAAGCAGAGCAGAAACTGACACAGCACATTTGTTGCTAAATGTTCAACAAATGCACAACTACAAAAGTAGTAAAGATGGAGCCCTTTATTTATTCAGCAGTGTTTGGACACAACACACCTCAGGGCATTTTGAAAAATGAAATATGTACTTCTGTACTGCAACTAGCAATAGATTTTACATAGAAAAAGCATTAAGTGGACCGCTGTAGAACAGCACAGCACATAATGTACAGCAAAAAAAATGCTCACTGGGAAGCAATTATTGCTTGCTGATCCTTGTGCACAAGTTTAATAAATGTAATAAATGTCAAAAAAATACAATAAACAAACCAATATCAGGTAAATAAAGAGACAGTTTGAAAGAAAATTCACTTCATACATGACAAACCACCTCTGTGGTGAAGACAAAGGCTATAACAACGTACCGCAACATAATACTTTCGAGCAGGAAGTACAGAGTATTTTATTCAACTGACATTATTGAGAGAAATGATGCATATGGCATTCAGATAACTTGTAATTTAGCCAAAACATGTAGATCAACAACTTTCTCCACTCAGTGAGTAAATTTTTGTTGAAAGAAAATTTAAAATGGAAAGTGGTTTGTTTTTTTTTAAAGTATTGTTATCTTTCAACTGAGAAAGTTCTGTACCTGTAAATTTAATGTAGCTTTGTGTAGTTTCCTCAGAAGTTCAAATGCTAAAATTTTTACTTCCTCAAAAGTGCTGGCAAAACACTTGATTAGTGTTTGAACATGGGTACGATCAATCTCTTCAGCCAGCTGAAAAACTGCTTGTGTCTGACCTGTTCACAAGACATCAATGTCCCCACCACAATTTATTACCATCTTCACAGAACAAGATTTTGATCTCATTTTTATTCAACTGAACAAATGCAAACCCTAAAATTGTTACAGCTAGATAAAATCACACATTATTTCTATGTAAACACAGGCCTCTGAACACTTGTTAGAATGCACTGTTGAATAATGCCATACTAGCAAGCAAACCATGACTGTACAAAAAGCCACTTAAAAACCTGCAAATAAAAATTCTATTTGTTCTCATAAAACTTAACTGTAGACAAAGTGGCAAGTTACTGCAGAATGTAAGGGGGCAGCAGGGACTGCTTTTGCAACAGCTGGTCTGCACTATTTCCCATGATTAATTAACCCATGGTGACTTAGCCCACTGTCACCAAGGGCTAAGCTACTACAAGTTGTCTTCCACTTACCACAGGTAAGAGCATGCACATCTGCATATACTACCATGCAAGTGATGTACAAGAGAAAGCCCTGCTGCCTCCTTACACTCCACAGTAAGTTGATCATATAGACCCATGCTCTCACCATCACTAACTCTCACCCTGCCAACTTTTCTTAAAGCTGCAGCTCTTGGAGGTATTTTAGATGAAAAATTTAAATTCCATCCAAAAAAAAAATCTGATTTTCATGACTAAAAAGAACAGCCAGAACAGACTCAAAGATCTGAAAACTATGATTTTTAATTTCATAT